ATATATACATTTTCAGTATTGACAAATTTGAAACACAATCTAGTGTGTGTGTGTGCGTGTGCGTGCGTGCGTGCGTGCGTGTGCGAGCGTGTGCGTGCTGCGTGTCGTGTGTGCGTGTGCGCGCGTGCGCGCGCGCGTGTGGTGTGTATGTGAGAGAGAGAGAGAGAGAGAGAGAGAGAAATAATGCAATATACTGTGACGAAATGAAATGAAACGTACATTGAATCGAAAAATCATTTTACAAAAGTATCAACTTTTGATCGATTTTTAAATTTATGGCATCTTAAAAAAGTGCGATAATTGTAGTAATCGAAACTGAAATCTACAATTGAGATTTATAAGATCATGATAAACTCAGTTTAGACTCGGTTGCGTTACAGATTTATTAACAATGTAATTACCCTCTACGACTTACACAGGGATAAGTCTTATATCGTACTTGAATTTCTTTATTATAAACATTCAGTATAAAAAAAATCAGTATGTTTCATTTACGATTACAAATTTAAAACAAATAAATATCGTTAGATTTTTATAGAGGTTTCTTTCACGCGTACGTGTATCGAGATTCGTAATTCAGTGATGACGATGAAGAATCGAAAGATTGAGTCGCACTATTCTCAAGGGAGAGGGAGGGGCTGAATAGCATATATACTTAATACATGTATAGAAAATCAATTACGTTACCCTCGTGTACTCATATATATAGTTGATATAATTCAATTTGTGCGATTCATGTGATTCCATGGATCATTATAAACAAAACATTTTCGATAATACACGGAGCAAAGAGAAAGTACGGTCGAAAAGAAGCGACGTATGGCTGTGAACGAACAATACGAAGTGAACAATGTGTTTGCGGCACTCTATGATGACTATCATAGAGATTACAGAACATTGTTACAAGTTTTGCAATGTATAGAACTGCAGTAATGTATGAAGTATATAAGATAATTTATGTATGTGCCATATTGAAGCAAAGAAAGTTAAGAATTTACAAGTAGGAATTAATGCTGCCGTTGAGTGTTTTGTCTGCGAAATTTGTGTAATTGATTATATATCTAGCTTATTGCGTACCATACATACGTACATATTTGATAGTGATACACACGCGTATCAAGAGAGAAATTTATATATTTATTTAAAAATATGCACGAATGTTTAATGTAAAGCTGAATTTACATTTATACATTTATATAAATACACACACACACACACACACACACACACGCGCGCGCGCGCGCGCATGTGTATGTGTGTGTGTGTGTGCATCATATATAACATACAAGTGCATTATAATATATATAGAGATAGAAACAGGGCAAAGAAAGGGTGGAGGAAGAAAGAGGGACTTATCGAATAAATATAATAAATACCCATATGCATTTACTACTCATTTATTCATTTTTTCAAATGCAACGACTGTATATAAAAGCTACTTGATATTACAAAGTCTCTCTGTGTTTGATTCATAATTATTATATTTATATTCTTTATATTATATTTATATTCTTCGCACATAAGAAATAAATGTATTTAGTTAATTCTTGGAAGGAGAATGGGTAAATATAAAAAGATTGAAATAAACAGGGAAATATATATATATATATATATAAAATATATATATATATATATGTACACTTTTTACAAGCTGAAATTTTAATTATAATTTCGATTTGATAATATAATGTATGTTGTAATTTAACATATATTATATACATATATGATAAAAAAAAAATTATTTTAGTCAATGACAATTCTTTTCATAAGATCAGTCTTTGTAATTATATATGTAGTAAATACGTAATATGTAGTAAATACGGGTAATTTTAAATTAAAACGAGCTGACAATTCTGTTCCAAATTCGCTACTTGCTTCGCTACTAGTAAACTATATATAGATATAATTTATCGAAGAAGATCGACGATCTAGATTTAGCTCTTTATCGGCAATAATTTCATCAAGTCATATCGTATCACTGAATTTTGCATCGAGCGAGACCTTGAATAACAACGTCGCTAGATTGAATAAGATCGTTATAAGTAGAATATGTAACTTCCCTCATATCCTGTACACCCTGTACTTTTTACTCTTGTGCTCGGCAATTACTACGTCATAGCGTACTAATAACTAATTAGCCGTGTGTGGGATGTAATGACGGGACAATAGACGGCAGTCACGATGGGAAGTGCTTAGTTCGACGATAAATGCTTGCCCCCCTGGCCTATATTTAATGTTTCCACAATGAATCTGTAACTCCCTCGCCTGAAGAGGAAAAAGAGCAGATGTTATGCTGTATTCGTTCAGCTATTTTATATTTATGTTTCAACTTACACTGCATAGTAACAATTATTACTATCTATTATACATATACATATATATAATATATGCAGAGAATGGAAGTAACTCGAATCGTTACTTGTAACGAAGTTACAGTTGCAAGTTATTTTTTTGGTAACTTTACTAGTAACTACGTTACCTTTTTTTTTGCGGTAACTGTTATGATAGTTGCATTTTTTTTTTTGGTAACGCTGGTAACGAATTTTACAGATATTTTTATCGTTATTACACACGATTGGACACAATTAACTCGTAGCGCTTGAGATTAGAAAGCTTCTAGAGATCCGTCCGATGTGATTGTAGTCATCGATTTTAAAAAAGTAATGGAAAAGTAACGAAAAATTATTTCCTCAAGTAACGGTAACGAATTACTTTTAAAAATTGATATAATTAATTGTTACTTTTTCTATTCAGTAACTTGTTACTTTTAAATAATAACTTTCCATTCCCTGATGATAATATGTATAATATGTATAATATAGAACAGATGAAGCGTTCTTGAGTAACGCTACGATTATTCGATGATATATATATATATA